ACTTAATTGAGTCATAATATTCCTGCCCCTCTCCCAAAGAGGAGGATAGAAAGGATAAGCATTAGGAAGTGTATTACAGAATCTGATAGTCTTGTGGGTGAAGCCATCACTTTTTCCTACGTGATGCGTGAAGTCAACCTAATATTGCCTTGAGTCTTTTTTCACCGTTCCACTTAAATTCCTATTTGAAATTAATTTTATAATGTTTATATGTTTTTGAGTTGACACAGGGCTGTCAGACAAAGTATACATTTAGCTTCCAGCATTTGATAATTCTTGTAAGTTGCCCACTGAGGGATGCAACTTGCATGAAAGTGAGTTCTGCTTTCTCAATATGTTTCTGGGTACCAAAGGGAATGAATTTTAAGGGCACTGGTTTTTCAAATTGGTCAACCCTGCCTTACCTCGAGCGCCATTTAAGTGCTTGTTATTGGACAAAGTGAACTGAAGTTTGGGTTGAATCTTGAGATCTGTTGAGCGATCCATACCCTCATTAACTGTATTATTACTAGTTGAAAGATTAGTGTAGGCCTGCTAGGCTTACGGTAATTTGCGAAATGAAACGAAACTAAGCGAAATGAAACGAAACGAAACATTAGGTTCATAGACAATTTTTTTAGGTGCTCTGCTCCTGAAAATTATCTTGCTAGATATAGCAAAGACAGGCTTACAGACGTGCCAAGAAATTATTAACTCTCTTCCAAAACTGTTCTCGCTAGATGCCTTGTTTCGCAAAATACCAATAACGGCCGGCTTATGGTGTTTTGCGAAACGAAACGAAACAAGGTTCGCAGACAATTTCTTTAGGTGCTCTGCTTCCGAAAATTGTCTTGCTAGATAAAGCAAAGACAGGCTTAACTAACAGCTGTCCAAAACTCAGAATGTTGATTTCCAATTGTAGGATGCCCAAGCAAACCAAAGGATGGCAGCTTGAATGCCATGTTGACTGAAAAACCATGAGTTTTCCACCAAATCTGATACATGTTACTTAGAACGGAAGTGTCATGCATTCTCTTGCGTGAGAATGAATAGTAAATAATTGTACACCAGGACAAGAGAGAACAAGAGTCACAAAATATAAATTTTAGATAACCTATTGACTGGACTAAGCCTCTGGCAAAAATTGAAAAAATTTTGTAGGTTTTCATAACAATATATAAATATGTATGATGCACGATCCTCGCAGTAGATTGCGCTATTTATGCAATAGCGAAAATCAGACCTGAAAAAAATAGTTGGCTTGTTAGGTCAATTGGTAGAGCGCTGCACTAGTATTGCAGAGGTCAGTGGCTCAAGTCCCGTACAGGCCTGATTTTTTTCAGGTCTGATTTTCGCTATTGCATAAATAACGCTATCTACTGCGAGGATCCTGCATCATATGTATCTAATACCGCAGTTCAAAATATATGAACTTCATATATTTATTGTATCTAATATATAAATACATACCTACTGGTAGACATTCTACAGCAATGTCAAAGGGCAGAATTTTTTGTTTTTCTTTTTGATATGAATTAGCCACCTATTTCCCTAACAAGATATGGATCAAGATAATTTTCGGAAGCAGAGTGCCTGTACATATAGTCTATTAGTCAGCAAATCTTGTTAATTTGTTGATTACCAATTGGCTGCAATTGGTATTTTGTGAAACAAGACATCTAGCAAGAACATTGTTCGAAGACAGGGAATAATTTCTTGTCGCATCTGTAAGCCAGTATTTGCTTTATCTAACAAGATCATTTTTGGGAGCAGAGCGCCTAAAGAAATTGTCTGCAAACCTTGTTTCGTTTTGTTTTGTTTCGTTTCGTTTTGTTTCACTTCGTTTCGTTTCGTTTCATTTCGCAAATTACCGTAAGCCAGCGTGCTACCCTAAGAGAGGATTCTTGTCAACTGCTTGTTTGCCACGCTAAGGCTTATGGGCCAGCATCTAGAGACTCCATCCCGATGGCTGAAGCAAACAATGAAAGCAGCAGGCATTGACATTTATGTTTTCAAAAGCAACAGCACAAGATCAACATCAACTTTAGCTGCTAAAGCTGCAAATGTTCATATTGAGGATATCGTGGCTACTGCTTGTTGGAGATCAGTGTTTGCCTTGCCAAAAAATTATTTACCATGCTCCCTCATTCACAGTGTAATAGTTTTTCCCAATTCACAGTTGATGTATTGTTATTTATTTAAATCATATTTTTGGAGGGAGAAGTCAGAGAAAACACAAAAAACCCACATGTAAAAAGATATGTCAGATCTATACTGGTATCAAAACCGGCAGGCCTACAAGCAAGTGCCTCAAATATTGCAAAGGAGGAAAGAAACTGTAAATAGAGAGAATGTAAAACCTTATGACAGGTCTCTTTTCTCTGAAATAACTAGTTTCTTGTATCTTACCAATATTACCCAAATGCATATTGATGAAGTAATCATGGTAAAAGTCTGTTTATGAGCCAAGTGGCCAGGCTTATCTGGTTTCTGTAGTATGAAGTGACTAGGAGTATTTTTTATACTCCCTGGATGGGATGCTAGTCCATTGCAGGGTTACACCCCAACATTGAATTTGCTGATACCTTTTTAAACACCTGGTTGAAGAGAGGCACTGTGAGAGTAGTGTCTCACCTAAGAACACAACCCAGAATGGCCTCAGCCAGGGCTCAAATCTGGACCAGTCTTGATCTGGAGTGGAGCACACTTAAACCATGAGGCCACTGCACCTCCCATTGAGTTATGGTATCATAGAGGAAATAAGCTCAGAGCAAAGAGATCTAGTAAATGGTTTGTCATTTGGACTCTTATCAACAAATTGGCATCATAGTCCCAGGTGTCCCGAAAAGAGATATAGGAAACTGGAGATGAGAATTGCATGCTTACTTCTGTCCCCAATATCATGCTATTGTCTTATTTAAATATCTGGGTTAAGTGATACAAAGGCAAGAATTTTTGTCTGAGTAAATAGAGTCATTAACATATTACAAAATGGTGTTTGTTGTGGTATGTTGTGGGCTTAAATGATCTGGTTGGATTTTTCTTCTTTTTGCTCTATCCTTGAGCAAAATGCACCTGTGTAATGTGCATAAGAACACTCAGTGGAAAGAAAAGGGCTCCAAATTCTTGGAATCTATGATAAAAACAGTCCCTGCACTGTTGATAATTGTTGCTCCATTCTTGATTGAAATACCCCTCTGTATACTTTGCAAATGTTCGAGAGCAAAGTAACGTACAGATGAGTACTTCACTGGAAAGAAACAAGCCTCAAAGTCTTAAAACAACACAGTCAATTTCAACAACAAATATGGAAATATTTTGTTGCGCCACTTGAGCAACTTTTGTTTTCAAGTTGAGTTTGGCATATCTATTAGGCTGTATGATAGGGCTATACTAGCTGGCAACTGGTACTTAGAGCATGTTTTGAGGTTTGAAGATTTCATTTGGTTTGACCATCTTAACAATGTTATTAATTCTTCAAGTTGATTTTACATATCTGTTTTGGCTGTATTTTACATGTATTTATTTAACACATAATTTACCATGTTTTGAGGTTTTACAGTTTTCATTTGGCTTCTCACACAATTACCTTGTGAGCTATTTTGCTTCTGTGGTGTGGATATTTGTGTTGAGTTCATTCCCCTTGCAACTTTGCAACTGGCTCAAGTGCTCCTCAACAGAACTGCCAGCTATGTAGATGCATGCCTGTAAAAAAAGCACCTGTTTATTATATGTAATAAGTTCCCAAGCAAGTTCCAGTTAATTCTTCAATAGCATTGAGTTTCATTTAATTTGGTTATTCATGCAATCGTTAAGAATTATCCTGCTCATTACATCAGTTCTATTAATTTTCCTGTTTACAACTATTCACCTCAATCGAGGTGACTAGTAGTCGATATTTACCAAACCTTAAAGTGGCGAGGTGAATTATATACTACATGGGTACTGTGTAAGCCAATGACACTGAGGTGAATAGTTGTTTTAGTAGTAATTGGTACTATAATATAGCAGAAAAAGATGATTTAATAACTTTACTCATTTATTCCTGACAGTATTTAATTATTCCTGACAATATTTTTGGGTGCAAATTCCACTTGCCATGCTCGAAGGTGAATGGCAAATGATGTTCAGAGGTTGAGTAGCCAGTCAGAGAGCACCTTCTATCCTATATTTGCTGAATATGCTCCAGCTGAATTTTAGAAACTGGGCAATATTGCATTTGACATTCATTAAAACACTGTGTGAACAGCAAACTCATTAATTACAGAATAGGCATAAATCCTCAGACATTAAGGCTGTCAACTACCCTCTTTCCTTATACATGTTGAGGGGAGTGGTGGATGAAATCCTTTCATGTTTTCATTGTGAGTTAAATTGTTTTGAAAATATCTCGTTATTATGCTGTGTAAAAATCAAATCACAATTTAGAAGTTTTACCAAAAGTTTTTTTAAACTTTACTAACTAGAAAGTTGATATTTGTCTGTTTTTGCATGCTGAAAGGTAAAGAGAGGGACAGTGTTTTAGAAGAATTCAAAGGAATTAAAAATCCCATCATTGAACTAACCCTAAACCCTAATACCATGCCCAATATTTCAAACATTGATTATTTCGTAGTCAACGCAATTGGTTCAACTGTGAAGAGGGAAACGGTTGATTTTTGGGCACTTTGAATATAGTCAGGACGTTTCCTGGGAAATTGATTCGAGCCACTTTACACCATGATTATTCTTTTGTGAATGAGCAGAGTTACAATGAAACGTCTTTGTTGATCATCTTAAATGATCTACCTGTAAATTAAAACTAAAGAAATTATAAATAACTTAACATGCCATTGGAGAGATCGAAACCACCTTTTTTAACGAAAAAAATATTAGTAGACGCGTAGGGGGAGAGTTATTTTAAAATATCCTCCTAAGGACGAAGTAGACAATAAAAGCTAAACAGTATTATCGCAAAACAGGATACACGTGGCATTTCAAACACAGTTACTAATCTGGCATTTCAATTCTTTTGAAATTAGTTGTGAAATCAGTTCTGGAAAAGACACAGACGTTTGATGGAATTGTTTTAGATGTGCAACCGTATGTCACAGTACCAATGGTTGATGAGGAGGTACCTGCTTCAAAATAGAAACTATGTAGCTTTGTAATAATATTAATCCCTATAGCGTTGCCTTTGTTTTCTTACAGTTATAATTTAACGAATTAAAATTATTATGTTCAATTAGTAATGTTCGATTTTCATGCGATTTACCTCTGTCCTAGTCTCCAGGCAACAATTAATAAGGAATTATATCTTCATCTCAATGACCTAGCTATTAATTATTTGTCTCGTCTGAAATTTGACTTTGACTGATTTATGTTGTTTTCATATATTTTTTAACGCCTTCATCTTTGTTTGGTTACTTGGTTAATTGGACGATCTTGATCGACCTTTATAGCTTTTAATGGGACCATGACTTGCAGGGTTGGGGTAGGAGACGTTAATTTCCCACACACGAGATAACTGTGTGATGGATGTCCTCCCTTGGGGTGGGATGGGTGGGATATTGGGCGCACTTAATTTGGAGCCTCGCTCTGTTGTGCGACGCTCACCTCACTCTGGTGAAAGTGATTAAATGACTTGCAGTCTTCTAGGTGAGAATTTTTAATAAGGCATCTTTTTGTTACTGATTCAGGTATTCGAGCTGGTATCTGCAGAGATTTGCTTAGCGACCGTCGAATTTCTCACCCGTCAACAAACAAAAGCTGTCCTAAAGGAAATCGCTAACAAGACTGGGATCAAGTGGCTTGAAGATAGTGCGACTTTCTTGATGTCAGGAAGCCTGAAACAAGTGGAAATGTCACGAGGTTATCTTCAGCAAGCCATAAGTCAGTTTGGTGGAATAGCAGAATACAACGAGATGAAGAGGAAATTCTCAAAACCTCAGAATTCAAGAAGTGCAGAGGTCGTTAGGGAAGACGCCGAGGGGGAGGTTGAGAGAACCAATGCCGTAATGAAGGCAAACAACACGAAGAAAAAAGACCCCTGTGACGAGGAAACAGACGCAACGCAAACCGATCACATGGCCCCAGTAACACCCACTAAAAGTCATGATTTTGAGGTCAATTCAAAGCTCATAAAAGTTTTTGTGAAGGCTCACGAAGCTGAACTAAACGATATCGAGGTCGAATACCATGTAGAGGTACCAAGAGAGGCGAAGGAAGGAAAAATTACCCTTAAACCCAGGAGTGGATGTACAGGTGAAGAATACGAGAAGGCGTGCGACCTGTTCATCGATCTGTATCAGCAAATGACTCAAGTTATGAAGATGGAGCGTTTTTCGCTAAAGGATGAAAGAAAGGTCACCACTGCCCGAAAGAAGATTCATGAAATGGGTAAGAACTTTCCGGTGTTGGTGGAAGTATGTAAGGATAAAAAACACTGGGAAGTTTTCGGGAGGCAACATGATTTAGAAGAGGCCATGGAATATCTTCATAAAGAGGAAGTAGAAATAGAGATGGAATCAGAAAAAAGGAAGCTTGGAGGTGATTCAAGGAATGACGGCCAAAAAGGAAAGGAAGCGAATCCATCAGAGTTTGCCAGGGTCACCCGGAGTAAAGACTTACTGGAAGCCCACATAGGTACGTATTCAAGGCTGAAAAAGGGATGAAAATTTTTATATACCATAATGACTCGATTTAGCACCCTTATTCCAATAGGTGCCTCTCTCTAGTCAAGAAGTGCCTCTATTATAATAAGTGCCCTTACTGTGTAAGCGCCCTCATTCCAATCAGCGCCCCTGTTCCAATTAACAACCATTCTGTTTCAGTGATTGCACCGCCAGAATAAAATGTACTCTCCATGCCATTACTTTGCCAACATTCTCTATACATTTGTCACTACAGTTTCTGCTACTGTTCATCTTTATGTGAACATCAAAGCTTCATTTGGCACATTCTGTTGTTTCCCAGTAAAGAAATTTGCGCCCCTTTTCCAACAAACGCCCCAGGCAGTTAATCGAATAATTACAGTATTTTCTATTTTGCTCTGCATATCCCTGCGAAGAGTACTTTTAGGATAAACGTGGGAACCTACATACCTTACCTATATACTCATTTTTACGCAAAACATTTGGCTGTTTTGAAAAAAAAAACGTGTTCAGTTGATACTGAAAGAGAAAAAAATAGTAATGTAGTTCTCAACATACAATTTTCTTTGTGGCTTTACAGGGAGAGTCAGAGTTTCAGTCTCTCGAGGAGACCTGACCACCGAGAAGGTTGATGCTATTGTTAACGCCTCAAATGAGTTTCTTCAACACGATGGGGGCCTTGCTAAGGCCATTCTTGACAAAGGTGGAAAAATAATTAGCCAAGAATCGAACAAGATCATTAAGAAGCGTAGATCTTTGAAGGAAGGTCAGGCAGTGTCGACTAAATCAGGAAATCTACCGTGTAAGTTGGTCGTTCATGCCGTAGGGCCGGAGTATCGAAGAATAGGAATGAGCCATAGTAAAGAGGTCCTCCGCCGAGCCTGTTTTAACAGTTTGAGAATCGCACAAGAAGAGAAATCGACCTCCATTGCTTTACCAGCGATCGGTTCTGGCACTCATGGCATGCCTAAAGACGCCTGTGCTGAGGTGATGTTTGATGCTGTCGACGAATTTATTCGACAAGGAGATCCTAAGAAGAAAACAATCACTGACATCAGATTCGTGAATATAGATGATGCCTCCTTTCAAGCGTTCAGGAAAGAGTTCATCTCTCGATATGGCCACAATGGAGACGACGGTCGCGGATCTTTCCTGTGGAGTCCAACTGGTGCTGAAGGTGCTGATCCATCTTTGCAACCGTCAAGACGAAATCGTGGCAGAAACAAGGATAAGAGTTCCGAAGCTAGTGGTACATCATCAAGCCCTAGAGATGTGTCTGGAAACCGTAATTTCGAAACCAATTCTCATCACCCGCTGGATGCTGCGGCTACCGGTGGTTCATCGCTTCCAAACATTTCTTACAGTGGCGCTGTCAAGAAATCTGCAGATGCTAATTCTGACGAAAGGAAAATGGGGTTTACCCTCCCCCCTGGGGAAAATAAAACTCCGGCGAACGATAAAGGAGAAGGTAAGAAAGGCAAGCCAGTAGACTGACTAAGGAGTGGTAAGGTTATAAGTAAAAAACGTGTCTTCAGGAATTGTACTCAAATCTGGCAGAATGTAAAACCAAGAAGGTAACCCAGTGATGCTAGTTAGTGTAAACGATTCGCAATTTAAGTTTTTTCATTGAGAACTAACGCAACATGCAAAATGTAGGGTAATCGAGAGGATCTGCAATATTCCAAGAGGGTCTAAAAACATTTTTCGTTTTTCTTCACTGTTAGATCCCTGTCCCATCTGTCTTGATACTTTAACGAAACCACGGAAATTGAAGTGCAGACACACCTTCTGCGCAGAGTGCCTTAAAAAAGCTTTAGATGCAAGCAACAAATGCCCTGTGTGCCAAGAACCGCAAGGTGTCCTTCAAGGAAACCAACCCCCAGGAGAGATGCGACATCGTACTGAACGTTACAGTGTTCCAGGATATGAAGGTAAGTAAACAACCACATTTATCCCTTGTTTTTATGATTGCTGAATGTCACACTTTTTGAAGCATAATTGTTTGGCTCAGTGGCTTTGAAAAAGTGAGCTACAAGTATCAGGTGTCCAGTCCCATACATTGTGATGCATTGTATAGTTGTAACACGAAGATGTGACTGAGGTGACTATATTAAATGTGGTAACTAACTCTAGAGATAATAATTTCATGGTTATGATATTCAGCTCTCTTTTTTAGCATGAAGTTGTATGAAAATGGCCCAGTTTTAAATCGACGATAATCTCAACATCTTTCTATACTAAGAAATCATTGGTTCATTATTGAGGTTAATGATAACGGAAGTATTTCAAATTAGCCTGATTTTGCTCGCATCAATGGTTTAGAAAGATAGCCAAAAACTTCTCGTTTGACGTTGATGGAATATTATAACTCAAGAATAAAAACGGTTGAAACTAGCCGGTAACAAGTTCAATTTATGTCGTTTGCCGTGTGCCTTAAAAGTCTTGCTCAGCCTCTCTATCATTTTGTGTCTTGGAAGGGGGAGGGGGGAGTTGTAACTACGTGGTCCGTCAGGCTAAAGCTCGGAAATTGGGAGTTAACAAAAATTTTTTTCAAGTCCACATTGTTTCCGGTCTTTGACTCCCTGAAGAGGATCCCTTGGTTATAAATAATTATCGTTGACATTTCAACACTTTTGCATTTTCAGATAGTACAAATGTCTCCTTTACGAAGACAAGAAATTAAACAAAGTTTTTAACGTATCTTTTGCTTTGAAGGTGATGGCACGATAGTCGTTGACTACGACTTCCCTCCTGGAATTCAAGGAAAGAATCATCCTCATCCCGGCCAAAGGTTTGGAGGCACGACTCGCCAGGCATATCTTCCCGACACGCGTGAAGGAAGAGAGGTGTTACAGCTACTGAGGAGAGCCTTTGATGCTCGCTTGGTTTTTACAGTTGGTACGTCAAACACTACGGGCTGTTCAAATCAAATAACTTGGAATGGTATTCATCACAAGACTAGTATGGGTGGTGGACCCTATGGGTAAGTAGAAGAATACATTATTATTAATTCATAGATACTTGAATTCATAGAAAAGAAAGTTATCTTCCCCGATAATTTTTTAAATTTTTCCTGTCTACACATTTTCATCTCCATGAAGGTTTTTTGACGCCTTGATCATTGTACTGGCTGCGGTGACTTTTTAGTCATTGAGAAGAATCCACTGCGCAAAAATGCTCCTTTATTGCTACCTGTGTGCACTGAGTTTCAAGAACAGTCCGAAGTTGAAAAATTTCGTGATAGGTCACTATTTTATTTTTCGGAGTTTTCTACAAAGTAATCGGAGAGCGCGCTTTTGGAAATGATTAGGACTGATGTTTCTTGAGAACATTCCCATTCCCATTCCCATTCATATTTTGAGACTGTCAATGCTTAGGAGTAATTCAGGGGAATTTTTTGTTATTACTGTCTGTAAGGCGCAATAACCTTTTAGTTGAATGTCTGAGATTTGTACAAAAATAAATCCAATTTTACCTTACGTTTGGAGTGTAGCAGTTATCCTTTTGATTATAAAAGGGGAGAGAAAAATGTTGAAAATTTGCTTAGGTAATTAAAAGTTAGACCGTTCTTCAGTTGTTTTGCACTATGACTATGAAGTTACAGTTATGGCACGGGAATGCAAGCCAATAGAATGTGTCTAGTTCCATTTTATCCGTAGGTTCTTCCATGACATCCATTCGAAGTTCCGTCACGCGAGTCGCAGAATTTCTTTCGGAATGCAACTATCTTTTCAACAGTTTTTCCTAAATTATCATTTTTACTGCTGTTACAAATTTTTTTAAAAAAATTTGCATTAGATTCGAAAAGGGAATATGCAGTATGAATTTTATGCCGGATTGGGATTACTGTAAAAATTAGCCCGCAATGAGTGCCACTCATAGATAGTTACGGAGGACGCAAGCCTTGATTTGGTAATTTTTAACTCGGATAATGACATAGTCAATAATCCGAGATATAGGTATGGATGAAACATTCGCTCTTTCTTTCCGTCATTCCTTCGATTATTGTTAACTTTTTCTAAATTCGCTGACAGTATATAAAGCACTGACAGTATATAAAGCGTTGGCAGTCGCATGCGCCCAAGTCGAAAAAGGTTTATCCCCAAAGTGATTTATGTCAGTGGTCATGTTTCTTATTCGTGGATCGTGTCGACACGATCGACAGCGTATGATTTTTAGCTTAATCGCAACGCACGTCCCCCTTTTTCAAGTTTTAACATGTTTTTTTTTTTAACTTACTTGAAGGTTTGGATATCCCGACTCTGATTACATGAGTAGAGTCAAAGAGGAGTTGGCTGCCAAGGGAATCCGCTGATTGCTTATTATTGAACTGTGTTTCACGGAGTTCGGAGTTGGTAACCAAACTCGAGACTGAAGAAATTAGCACACAAGTACCAACCAAATAAACGTGTATTATCGTAATCAGTGTAGTTAAGAATGCAGTCAATAGATTGAAGAAATGAGGATTTACAAACATAAAACAACTTGACAACAATCATACCATGCAGGAGTTCCGTTGGAGTTAAAAAAAGGTCTAATATGTATTTGTCTGGTAGTATAATGAGAATTTCTCATGAGCGTCTCTCGTAATAGTCATTTTAATCAGTCGATCCGGCTAAAATTGTATACGTAGTGGTTTTATTCACCTTTTAGCATTCTTTTTCATGACAATTTCACTATAAAATCTCTGTCACGTTTACGGATACGAACTCTAATCTTTTTTACTTATGTAACTCTTCCGTTTTTAGCACAAAGACACTAAGAAACTTTCAATGACTTTCTATTTAATTTGTTAGCGCGCTTTGTTTGATTTCTGTTCCGTGACTAGCGAATATCCGCTCGAAGCTAGCTACATAAAGCACTGTTCATTTCTATTTCCCGTACGTCAAAGACCTCTGCTTCTTCGGACGTCTGACACACAGTGTATGGCGTCAACAGAACACGCATTTAAGTAGCAGCCCGAAAAATGACTGACAAGGATTTAATTGAATAATATCGTACGATTTGCGTTCAACCAAATGTTACGAAGTCGACGAAATAACTTGTTTCAGCTTTATAACAGCGTGGAAGGGTCGAAAGAATTTCTTGAGTGACAAATTTAATGAATGATGATACCTGAACATTTAATTTGAATACGAGAATCTAGTTCTAGTTATTTGAATGTTTACTTTTGTCTGGTACGTTTTCTTTGTATGTTAACATTGCTACAGTCTGTGTTTATTTTACAGTTCATAGGAGCTGAAAAATATTTGCATCCTCCTTATAGGTCTGAAAATAATTTGATAGTATTGAAATTTCTGTTGTTAATTTGGTCTCGGAACTCATGATGAGATAGAAAAAAAAAAACTTAAAAAAAAAACTTTAATTAAGCGTTGGCAGTATCTCAATATAGGTAGTTCAGCTGTAAAATGCAACCGCTTTTTTTTAATAATGGAACCAATAACAGCATGGCACTTATCGGTTATTCGTTTATATAACATATTGACATAGATCTAGACAAGAATATAAGGTGTTTTATATTATTCGATTTAACAATATAAGCATGTTTGATTCTCAGGTTTAGATTTCGAAGAGAAGAATGACCCGTGATCGACAGCCTATAGAAGACATCATAGCTGTCAGACCACTCTACTTAGACTCGTGGAAGACTGGAAATCAGCTGTTGACAGAAAGGAACTGGTGTACATACTGTCTACTGACTTGAGTAAAGC